CTCCCCCCGGGGGAAGGGCCCCACCCCCCCCCCCCCCAATCCTCCTGGTTGACCTCCCCTGTGCTTTTTCTGGCTCTGCAATGTTCTTCTTGAGAGACGGTGCCCAGAACTGCACATGGTATTCCAAAGGAGGCCGCACCCTAGATCTACGCAGGGGGCAGTACAACGTCACCCCCAACATAAGAGTTTGTCTTTTCCACCGCTGCAGCCACGCTGGGTGGACACTTTCATCGAGCTGTCCACGAAGACTCCCCCCCACACCACCACCACCACCACTGAGATCTCTTTCGTTCTCCTTTCAGAACCCATCAGCGTATATGTGAAGTCAAGGTTTTCTTTGTTCCAACTGCGTCATCTTACACATGCCTACATTTTATGTTTTATATATTTCAGCACATGGTACCCTTAATTGTGAGCCGCCCTGAGCCCGTTCGCGGGGAGGACGGGATAGAAACGTGAAATAATAATAATAATAATAAAACTTCACTTGCCACACTGCTGCCCCCTCACTCCATTTAGAGAGATCTTCCTGTAGCTCTTCACAATCTACCCCGCTTTTGACCGTCCACAAACTCGGCTACTCCACTTCTCTCCCACCAGTTCCAAATAATTTACAAACCCGTTCAGCAGCACTGGCCCCGATGCCGTTCCTTGTGGGGCCCCCGCTGCCGCTGACTCCCCTCTCTTGCGAGAACTGTCCCTTGACCCCGCCCCTCTTTGCTTCCTGTCGCTTAACCAGCTTCTAGTCCATAAGAGAACCTGTCCTATTATCCCATGAGTAAATTCAGGAGTCTTTGGTGAGGTGCCTTGTAGGGATGTGCATTCGGTCCGTCCGAACCGAATGCACCCCCGAAAATGGCCCATTCGGACCCCTTTCGGGCTGCTGTGATTCAGATTCTCTGATCTGAATCGGTTTGCCGCCAAATTGCCGCAGAATTTTGGCGGCAATTATATCCTATGGGTCATTGAGGTCAATGGCGAAAACATAGGGTATATTCTGGGGGCTGGAGGGAAAGGGGTTTGAGGGAGACGCTCCAAACTCGCAGGGTAGCTGCTGGAACCTCTCCCCAAGATACCAACCAGGTTTCAAGAACATTGGACGAGGGGAACTTCTTTTCCCGCCAAAGAGAACAATGGGGGGGATAGGGGCAACCTGTTTTGAGGGCCCGTAGACTTGGACCCCCTGGTCCAATGCTCTTGAAACTTGGTATTGCTTAATCCTAAAAAGGATTGGACTTCCTTCTTAGTTTTTGGCACAGGCCAATCTTTAATGCTCTGCACCTTAGCATCCAGAGGTTTAATCACGCCACTGCTCACCCTATGTCCTAAATACTCTACTTCTACCAGACCAAACTGACACTTCTGTACCTTAACAGTGAGGCCAGTTTCCTTCATTCTGATCAGCACTTGGCGCAAATGGGTCAGGGGATCAGTCCAGGAATCACTAAACAAAGCGATATCATGGGCACTGGGCCAGATCAGTGCCAACATTTGCATCTGGCACCAGGTCTGACAGATTGTTCAAAGACAAGTCCAGAGTTGCTACATCTCCAGTCACCTCAATGAAAAGCTGTTCTAACGAGTGATGGCCACGAACCAGGAAAACGCAGTTCAGTTTGTGCCTGGTTTGCGAACTATTAACAGTTACAAACTTTTAGGGGCCGAATGAACCAGTTTGTTTTGTGAGGTTCATGGTTTGCCAGAACGTCCCCCACCCCCGGTCTTCCGCGCGCTGGAGACACCAATCTTGTGGGGGATCTCTGACTGACTCTCCTCTACCTGCCCTCCAAGTCTGGTGTGGATTAACCAAACTTGGACCCCTTAACTCCAATCCTCACCAAACATGGAGAGCAGGTAGAGGAAAGTCAGCCGGTGATCCCCCGCAAGTTCGGTGTCTCTAGCTTGCACAGGATCCATTCTATACACTCCTGAACTGGCACCTGTCAAAATGCCCGCTGGACAGGTTCAAAACAACCAAAGGTTCGTGAGTGTATGGAAGGGACCCTGTGCAAGCTAGAGCTTCAAAGTTGTAGGGGACCTCCCCCCCCCCCCGATTGCTTTGAAGTTTGGTAAATGTTTAGATTGAGATAAGAAAGTCTGTCTGGAAATGTCTCTGTTCACAA